TTTTAGACTGGACCTAATTTATTTACTGAATTATTTAAATAAACATACCACCATCATCATTCTTATTACCACCAACATTAACTTCTTGTACTTTTGTTATCATAAACCTTATTATCATAATATTTGCAATTAATATAATCATCGCTATTGCTGACGTTTACAATAGTTAACGTTTAGTATTTTTGATCCACACACCTACTGTCATTGGTTAAAATTTTCATATATAAAGCTATTTACATTGAAAGGAGGCCTGAAAAAGATAAAACTGAATGCAGTATTGTTTGCTAATATGTCTTGTTTTAATTTTCACGGTTGGAATATTAAATGATTTGTGTAGATGACGTTTCACGCTAAATCATTGCTATACTGTGCTCACCAACCACACAAGTAATCCACAATAACGACGTCACCGACACGCTACTAAATCGTACCTACTCTACTAGCCAACAGTAAGTGATCAAGGAAATTTGAGAGCGAGGTTGACTTTGAGAATAACAACACTACTGCCACTGATAATCCACAAGCAACGCAAGCAGTGGTAAAAAATACTGCTTTATTAAATTCAAACCAAATAAATAAATACATATCGACTGCATTTCATTGTAATTCTCAGCGCTCATATAATTCTCTAAGTCTTACATAAAGTTTAGGCATCTAGCTGCTTTTAATAACTCCTTTATTGATGTACTCCGTAACTCACAAAGCATGTAAGTGGTGGTAGACAAGAAGACCTACAGTACTTCTTTCTCATACGGATTCACATTTCGATAGTTTTGCATTTTATCAGATATCAGCAATAATCTTCAATTCACTCTATAGTATAGCGTATAGTAGAGTTTTAGCAAAGTGAAATTAGATACTGTGATCACAGAATATCATCTGTACAGTTAGGTAGGGAAATAGATAACAAGAATATTGTGATTTCAGTTACAAACAAATATTAGACCAACAGTGGTGCAAATTAAAGTATAGAAATTCAAAACGTAGTACCGTCAATGAACAAACAAACAAACAAATGTTGAGACTTGTATGCTTGCTATCTGTATGATTGTTGATAGTAGAGTGCTGAAAATGTCTAACAGTAAGTAAACTTGGATCACTCAAAGATCAATTATGGACAAACGATTATGAAATGGTAGTGACCAAGACTTCTGAGGAAATCATGAACAAGAAGTAGCTGTTCTAGCATACTGGCCTAGTGGGTAACGCTTCGACGATTGAAACTATGAGTACTGGATTGAAGTCTCAGTGAGCGCAGCCTCACTCACTGGAAAATGTAGGTGCACTCAAATGATGAGTCCTGAATGGGGCGAAACACTCATCTTCAACTTCACTCTCAGTCACAAGCCACCAAATTTCTTCAAGCTAATCCTCAGACATTGTCGACGCACCCGTGTACTAGGTGCAGACTGAACATTTCGGTTCAGTCAATCAACGGAGGAATCAAAACTCAATTAAAAGCAAGAATTATTTATCTATGTGTGTGAGTTATGGTTCATATATCTGACCACACTAATCAGCTTCCTTTTTAAATATGGGCTTGTGAAACGAGTGGCCAGATATTATCGGGATTAAGAACTCAACGATTCCTATTTGCTGGTGGTTAGCACTTGAGACTCGTCAGCTGCATATACTTGCCCTTTCAGTGAGTGGTGGTTTCTTCACTGAGACTTGAACCCAGTACCCATCGCTTTAAATGAGAAAGCTTTATCCACTAAGCTACTGAGAGACGTTAGCCACTTCTTAAACAACGAGTATAAACTGGCATTATTTACTGGTATTTTTCATTTTACTGGGTAGTGTTATAGACTGTTATCTTCATGGATTTGTAAAATTGTGTGAATCAGTGACTTCATGTTTTTCTTCAACTCCATTTTGATTTCACTTACATAATCACGAATTAATATCGTACTGCCTTGAAAAGTGACTTCTTCTAGGAATGGGAACAACTGTACATTTCTCAGTAATTACTAGTAGTTGACATATCAAGCATATTTACTATAACTATCTGTCTAAATATGAAGATCGTTGTTTTGCATCTTTCACCTAAATAAGTTTCTCTGATGGCTAACATGTCTAACAGAAACCTAATCTATATTTGCAAGAGAGCCATCTAAAACCAGGGAATTATGGACAGATGTTTTATTTCCTACTAGTTTGCGACTCATAGACAGTATGCATTACTAGGGTCTGAACCTTCTGGTTACGGGACAAGCTGATCGACCATTCAGCCATTGGGACTCAACTTAATGAAGAGCCCATGAATACAGACTTCAACCGATTTCGGATTTTAGAGCGACTGCCACCAGCCAGTGTTATCGGCGAGTATTTGTCATCACTCACTACAGAATAGACCTCTCTAGTCGTGATCTCCCACTTGAACTACAGGGAATGTCGTCCTGCAGTTACTATTAGACATTAGATTAATTTCATGAGTTAGTTTGTAGCGATTTGATTTTTCTCAAGCTTAAAAATGAGCTGACATCAGTTAAAGCTTGGCTTATAACCAGAAGGTTCAGGGTTCAAACCCTGGCGGGTGCGTACTGTTGGGGAGTCCCGAACAAGGATGGAAATGGCGTCCAGTATTTCTTGGTTCTCCAGCCATTCTCTAACTGATATTAGATTGTGTTCACACTTGCTTGTTTATTGCCGGTACTACACTTTTGCATTTCTCTAATTTAATTTTTGCACCGCTGTTGTTCTGATATCTGTTTGTAATTGGTATCACATTATTCTTGTTGTGGCAAGTGCTGCTGATAAGATTTATCAGTAGTATATAAACAGACCCTCATGGGCATAACGTCAGCAAATAGCAAGCAGATATATTTGATGCCAGAGAAAGAAAATAATACAGCGTTGCGAAAACACTAGGAGATGTGAAAAGAACACAAAGAAACACACACAATATGAAGGAAGGCGAGAAGTAGCACAACCACGGAAGGTCTGTGCAAATGGTGCATGCGTTTAAGATGAGGTGTACATTATTTTGTTATACAAAGATATGGAATTCCAAATAAACATTCCTTTACCAGTTCTCTCGTCTTCTACAGTTCCATGGTTACCTTTATCGCAAATTAACTGTACAGATGATATTCTCTGATCACAGTATCTAATTTCACAGTACGAAAACTCTGCTATACACTATACTATAGAGTGAATTGAAGCCTATTGGTGATATCCGAAGAATCCAGTACTATCGAAATGTGAATCCGTAGGAGAAAGAAGTACTGTAGGTCTTCTTGTCTATTACGACTGACATGATTTGTGAGTTGAGAAATACATCGTGAAAACAGTGATTAAGAATGACTAGTTACTTTATCTTGTTATAGGTCTAGGGGAAGTGAATGAGCACTGGAAAGTACAATGAAATGCAGTCGACATATATTTGTTTGGTTTGAATTTAATAAAGCTGTATTGTTTACCACTGCTTGGATTGCTTGTGAAACATAGGATGGCATATTAGTTTGTTTATTTGATGAATCACACAGTGATGGAACAGTATTATTTACTGGATGACGTTTCGAACAAAATTTATTGTTCATAATCATATCAATTGTAATCGCACGACCTCGAAACTTCAGTTTTATAGTTTTCTTTGTTCTCTCCTATTTGTCGTAGGGGTAGTAGAATTTTCCAGATATCTGCCTGGACAGATGTTTAATCAATCGTACTACGTGTTGTCGCAGTTGATTCGATTAACAAAGCTTCTGTTATCAATCTCTCCTTCCACTCTGTGACATTAGATTTTAAAACTATCATCTTATCCCACCCGTCCCGTTGTATGTTTGTGTGTAATTGCATGTAGTGAGTGCTATAGCTGGACTATTCTCTAGATTTCTTATCTTATTCGGGTCAACCAACCTAGATTGCGCTGCTAGGTTTTTATGTTCAGCTAGTCTGACTGCCCCTGTTCTACTAGTTTGACCTATGTATTTGACCTGACAATCATTTCAGGGTATGAGATAAACTAAATTGTTTTGTTTTAAAGGCTCCACAGCAGGATCCTTCAACCGACAAAGCTTGTTTCTAATTGAGTTTGTGGGTGATTGAATGCCAGCCATTTTTATTCCTGCCTTGTTAAGAATTCTGCGTAAGGCTTCCGAGGTTCCTTCCTTTTATGGAATTACTATTGATGATTTAGATTCCTTATTGTTGGTGTCATCATTAATATTATTATTATTATCACTATTATCGAAACAAAGGGTTGCTTGAGTATTCCAGAGTTTCAGTGTCAGTAATGTTGTTATCCTCAGGGTTATCTTTGCTCACTTACTGTCGGCTAGTAACGGAGGTACAATTTAGTAGCGTGTCGGTGAGGACTTTATTGTGGCCCACTTTTGTGGTTGATGATGAGCACAGTATATCAATGGTTTAGCGGAAAATGTCATTGACCCACATGGCAAACAACGAGTTCAGCTCTGAATCGCATCTATTCATCTTTTGAATATTCCTCAGAGATTTTGCACTTAACAATAAATAACTGAGAAATTTAACTTTGATAAGTTAGTCAACAAGTCTATCATTATCAGTGGAGAATGATTTTCAACCATGAAACTCAAGCCTCACGGTTAAAAGGTAGAAATAATTATAAAGTAAAATCGTAAAATTCTTTGTTTAGGGTTAATTTGTGTTTCCTATTGACTGTCACATACACCGGACCTAAATACCTGGTCTCTGTTGACATATCTGTTCCTAGTACGAACGCTGCGACGAATCACAGTTGGAACGCCATCACGCCACCAGTGAGGACTTGGACACATCCAACTTACGATTCCCAGATGAAACTAAATACGCCTCCTGGATCCCACTGTTAGTCACCATCTACCGATAAAAACCTGTATTTATTTATATAAATTAAAAAATCAAATGACCGTATCTCACATCGTCATTCTTCTAACCATCCAGAAACATACTGAATACCTTAGCTTGGTCAAGTAGTCAATCATTCTTCAAATAATAAAAAAACATTTAAATAACTAAATAAATCGATAAATACTTACCACATTTTGTATGTAATTATTGAATTCTCTTTTAGTCATCCTTGGTGCTTTCTTTAAAAATGGCACTGATTTAACATTGAAAGTTGATGGATACATATTAGGATCTACTGGGCTGTATTGATTCGGTGAAATTGCACTCTATAAATATGGATGCAAAGTTAAGTACCAGATTTTCACTAGAACATCGGATATGAATAGTACAACAGCATTTTACTGTGTTCTCTTCAGTCTTATTTTTCGTCTGACTCTATAACTGCTAAAAAGCTTTCAGTTTCTTCCATACATTATCACCACTACTCTCTCATCCTGGGACACCCAAATTATTGCTTCCACTCAATGACCTGTGGTGCGGTGTCACTCACTCATTAGTAGTCCCCTCAGCGTATTTCTTACACATTTCTCTGTTCCCTTCGGCATATTCTTTAGACAGCAGGTTCTCATTTGGTTCGTTGCCTTCAAGAACTGCTTATGTTTTATCCTTTCTGGCCATCTAAGTCCCAGCATCCAGAGATGAGGGGAACTGTTGACGAAAGTCTACAATAACATGTTGGAAGTGATTTTGGTAACTCTCCAACTCTCTGAATGACATAAGCATGCTATCAGAATGCATCCTATTGTGTGTCTAATAGTGATCGAAATCTACCATTCCATGAAATAACCATCAAATTTCGATCAATGTTTTTGACAACTAATAGAAATCTCTCCACCAAGAGTGTAATTTCATACGTAAGCTAAGACTGCTTAAAATAAATTTGGAATGCAGAAAATTATCCTCATGATTTCAGTTTACAGAATGAAGAATGACAAAGTGATATTGTTTCACCTTATTACTAATATTACAGTTAAAATATAAAGTTTATAGGCAACTACTATATGTGTGTTGAAGTAAAACTTGTATCAGTTAAATTTTGCTTTAAGTATCACGCAACTATAGACTACTTTCATATTAATTCAGTAGTCTCATCATCACCTTTATAAAGCAATGTTTATATATCATATTAAAAAATATGTATTCAAAATGTCGTTAAAGCAAAATATCTCAAATTCAGCTTCTTTTATTATTAGAAGTTGTTTTGTTTCTTTTCAACAAGTGAGTACATCTCATATATTATCGACTAATAAAGCGGTTCGACTATCAGTAAAATAATTCTCCTAATTCTTACTAATTTAATTTATGATTTCATTATGAACTGACATCGGTTAGAGGACTGTTGGAAAACCAGCAGGGAGTACTGGACAGCTAGCTGTTTCATCCTAGTTTGAGGCTCTTCACAGTAAGCACCCACAGACTGGGGTTCGAACATGGTACCTTCTAGTTACAAGGCGAACTTACTTGCAGACCATTGACCCACAGGGACCCGATCCAATGGCCACTCCATGAATTCCAACTTCTGACATTTCATGATGTGGTGCAACCATTAGCTAGTGTCATTGCTGGCAAGTATTTTTCCTCACACCCAACCTGCTTTACTGATTAATTCATATTACAGTCCTATTATTATAGAATCAATCACTGAATTCGCTGTTATCCTAGGCGCTAGGCCTACCACTCACGTGGCCTCTGTTCCATTTCCGGTTGATATGCTTCTCTAAAATTCGCCCATCTGATAACAAGCTTGGTAAAAGAAGCCGGTTGGGCATGAGGATAGCAACACCGTCATGTAATAAAAGTATTACCTATACTGAAACTTCAAAGATCAAGCCCCATGACTGGAGCGCTATGTCCCATAGGAAATTTATCAATTTTTTTTTACATTCTGAACACGTAGAAGTCATGGGTTGTTTACTGAATAGATTATAATACTTGTTTATTCTGAAATAAACCAAATTCTGCTTTGAATGATGGAATTCTGTGATTGTGCATTATTGTTTTCAGAGTTCTATATTTCCAAAAATAATGTCAGTGTGTGAATGGTGGTCACAATGAATACTGGAGGTTAACTCATTTTCGATCCACATCTTCATGCCATGTAATTTGTTTCAAGTGGTACACTTCATACTTTTTAATAAGGTGAGCAATATTGACGTTAGGCATCCGTCGAGTGCTAGGTAAGGAGGGGAAATCAGTCGACGAGACTGTGAAATTACATCGACTGAGATGGTTAGGACATGTGCTACGTATGCCTACTCATCGCCTTCCTCGACGACAGGCAATGTTAGCTGATATAGGGTCAGGCTGGAAAAGAGCTAGAGGCGGTCAAACGAAAACATGGCTTCATCAGTCAATCAAATCTACAACAGTTAGTCTAAGCCACGTAGGAAGGTGTAGACTGGCCTCCTGGTTGGGGTCCTCGGGACGGTAAAAACCAATAGTTGGAAACTATTGGTGACATGGCTCAAAATCGTTCTCAATGGCTGGCTTGTCAGATGCATCCACTCCTTGTGACTTATGATTTCCAATGAAACTGTTTTGTTCTCCGTTATTACTATTCCTTTGTCTCACACCTCTGTTTATTGTCTTTATTTTTATGCATTTCTTCTGCTTTCTTCTCTTCCTTTGTGTGCTACAAGGAGGGAGTGTGGCGACTTGAACTGTCGCACATATGTGCAAAGTTCTATGTCGAAAACCGACCGACCAACCGATAGTTTTGAATGCTTACAATGTTTTGAAAGATCTCAAAATGGTTGTTATTTATCAGCTAGTCTTTTACGATTTATTGTACAAATCTGATATACTAATTCCTATTTTAACTCCAAAGGATCTATCCACAGATATATATGTCATTGACGCATCATTTCAAAATCGATTCACAATTAATACTGAAGTTCTGTTGAACCATGTAAGCTATTGCATCAGAATGACTGGAACCACCTGCATTGATGTATTATTTAAGGCGTGAAATCTCTTGAAGAATTTATAATACATTTCTACAGAAAATTCTTCTGGTTAATTACAATAGTTGTGTAACAACAGAAGACAAGGACCAGGCAACAGAGCGTTTATTAAGGAAAATCAACACATGTTTATATATTTTAATGCACATTATTGTAGATTATTGTTAGTAGAAAATACAGTCTTTTGATTGGTTGTTTCTCACAGAAAGTTAACTTTGCATCTCTTTGGGGCTGTGTCAGATCATCCATATGCTAACTGTATCCGTCTACGCAAAGCCTTTGTTCTCATTTTCTCACCACCAATTTTGGGGACATAAACATTAACGTCAATTACTGTCTACCAACTTTGGCTAGCAGCCAGCTCTCACCACAGTTGTACTTATTTTGAAGATTCAGATAACTTAATGATTATTATCCGTCTTTCTCCCAAACTGTATGTCATTGCTCTAACGTTTGCGTATCATATGCTAACTTGACTCTTACTATTTGACTTTGTTCCTGTTCAATCTTTAGTTGTAATGTTTCTGTTTGTGATTGCACGATATTACTGATAATATGTTGTTGGCTGGGATTTTGTTTGATGATTGAATCAAAGCCATTCTGACTTTGAACTGTTTGCCAGAATTATTCGATGTGTGATTCTTGTTTTGGACGGAGTTTGATCCCACCTTGTTGGGAATATTCTATTTGATTCTAAGGTACTTCTTACAGTTAAATTTTAGTTAACTAATTTTGCTCTTCAAGTATTAGTTTGCAGAGATTTGATTGGACCATTGGAAAACCTAGGAGTACTGGACAGTGGTTTCGTCCCGCTTTGGGACTCTTCACCTGGCTTTAATGGTAGGCCGTGAACAGTGGGGTACAGCAGGTCGGGTGTGAGGATAAATACTTGCCAGAGATGATGCTGGCTAGTGGTCGCGCTCGCCAACCACGCACATAGTTAGGGGTTCGATCCCCGGCAAACACACTCCTTTACCTCGCTAATTCAGTAATATGACTGGTAAAAAGGAAAGGTTGGGCATGAGGCTAACAACCCAACCCTATAAAAATAAACACCACTGCTACTGAAACTTCACGCCCTATGCTGCACTGAGAACGTACAGGAATAAAATAATAATAAATGGTCTCACTATGTCGTGAATTGGAAGAAGTTGGAATTCATAGACTGGTCACTGGATCCGGTCCCGGTGGCTCGCTTTGTAACCAGAAGGTGCCATGTTCGAACCCCAATCTGTTGGTGCGTACTACTTAAGAGTCACAAACTGGGACGAAACAGCTGGCTGTCCACTACTCCCTGCTGGTTTTCCAATGGTTCTCTAACCGATGTCAGTTCATGATGAAATCCTTTAACCAACTTTGTTCTACCGTACTTGTCTTGTAAATGAGAATGAGTTCAATCTGTATACCTTCCTGGCGACACTAGTGAGGTAATTTTTAGTTTCTGATACGTCATTATTGTTATTATCATGGAATCAGGCGGGTGAACTTTCAGTTATTTCTAAAGCTATTTTACTATTTGAGTTTTAAAACAAATGGAACAATGGAACAAAAATAAATGAATAAATTTCGCTTCGTCATTTCTTATGACTTCATTCAACATTCAATGCCTAGAAGAACATCTTGAGTAAGCTGTCTCAATTCATGGGTCGCCTTTTGTCAAAACTCACAAAAAGGTGGCTAGATGCGAATAAGGTGCCGCTATATAAGCACATGTAAAGTTAACTGTCTTCAGCAATATCCTTTTAAGTTACCCTCATCTCGGACACTAAACCTGCAAATCTTGTATGCCAGGGGAAGCATTACTTTACTCTTTATTTGTGAAGACTATACGCCAAGGGGGGCTATTAATTGCGATCATCATATCACTTTCGAAAATTTTTCATCATTAGATTGTACAGATTTGAACAAATGGTGGCAACAATTCACAAATATGAACGAATTCGCTTGTATGTATACCGGTTTGGAAACAGAAATATTTCATTATTAAATAAAATAATTATATGTATGTAAAACTTGGGCACTGTGGTAGTAAGTAATTCCATATTAGTTTGTTTATTGCATGTATCACACAGTGATGACACAGTATTATTTACTGGATGACGTTCTGAACAGAATTTATTTATTGTTCATAATCATTTCATCAATTATAATCAAACAACTTCGATATTTGAGTTTTATAGGTTTTTTTGTCTTCTCCTATTTGATTCGAATCGAATCAACTGCAAGTACATGTAATAGGAATGATTCAACACCACCTGTCCTTTTGGATATCTGGAAAATTCTACTACCCCAACGACGACAGA